AAAAAAAAAAAAAATCTAATTCATTTCTGGAAATTTTAACACATTTGAATTCAACTTAGTCCAAATAAATAGTAACAGTGTTAAGTATCTGATTCACAGTTTTTTTTCTTGTTTTATACTAAGATAAACTATGTTTCACTTCTTGGTAACTAAGTAACTAAGTATATATTAGGTAGATATAATTAACTAAATAACTAAGCATATATTAAGAAACAATTTAAAATTTAATTTAAATTTTAAATCAATTTTAATTATTTAAACATGTTTTTGTCTATATTCTTTTACTACGTAAGGATAAAATTATTTTTAAAACATATATTCCAATAGAAAAGACATCAGTCATAATTACTTTTCTCATTGCTGAGACAAAAGGCCTGACACCCAAACTTAAAGGAGGAAAGGTTTATTTGGCTCACAGTTTGTAGAGGTTTCAGTCCATAGTCATTAAAAATGTCATAAAATATTACACTTATCATTTATGTACTTTTTTAGTATGTATTTTGTTGTTGTTTTGTTTTGTTTTTGTTTTTTTTTGTACCAGGTATCGAACTCAGGTTCTTACGCTTGCAAGGCAGGTGCAAGGCAGGAACCACTGAGCTAAATCCCTGGCCCTAACATGTATGTTTTATATCAATAATAAAGAAAAGTAGACATATTAATAAAACTTCTTAAGAATTTTACCATCTTGTTTTTGAAAGCTGGCAATAAATTTAAAGAAGTTATTTGCAAATAAAATTTGATATAGTAAATTTCCACTATATTCCAGAACCCTGAAATCTAATTATACTTATTTCTAATTTTGCTGGTAAAATGTGAATGGCCAAGTTGTCAAGTTAGTATATGTCAGCAGGAGTCGAGTCTAAATGTAGATTTAGCCAAAAATCCAGCATCTGTATCTGTCTGTCGCCTTAGTACACCTGTGCTAGCAAAGTAAAGGTGAAGGCATCCAATAGGTGAATAAATCTAAGCATGTGATGTCAAACATTGTAGTGGTTCAAATGTATGTCTTAGTAAATGGGTCCACTGTTTGAAAATTTAGACAAGCAATACCTAGGAATAGAAAGGAACTTTTCCATCAAATGAAGCACATCTACGAAATATCTAATATCATAGTTAATGGTGAAAGATTGGGTGATTTTTCTGAGAACCTGTAATAAGACAAAGATGTTTATTTTCACCAAGTCTTTTAAATCTTTTACTGGTGGTTTGACCTGCAATAAAGCAAGAAAAAGAAAACAATAAGTGCTATGAAAGAAATAAAACTTTATTTATGAGTGTGTTCAATGAAAATCAATCCAAGTAACCTACAGAGTACTACAACTAATAATTAAATGTATCAAGTTAATGAGTCATAGGTCAATATACAAAAATTAATTGTATTCCTACTTTAGCAACAAAAAATTGAATTACTACATAGACAAAATGTAAACATCTTAAAAATCATTTTTCATTATAATCAAAAATATCAAATACTTAGGAACAATTTAACGTAAAACATGCTAGATATTTGTCATGAAAACTATTGAACGTTAGTGAGAGAAATTAAAGGAGGACCAAATTAATGGAGATATACATCATGTTTATAGATTGGAAGATTCAGTATTGTTAAAAGGTCAACTATTCTTAAATGAATCTGTGTTTATCAATATTAAATGAATCTATAGGTTGAATCCAATTCCAAACAAAACCTAAGAAAAAAATGGAATTTTACATTTTATCTAGAAATACAAGCTTTAAAACAGCCAAAACAACCTTGGAAAAAGAACAAATATCTAGATAACATACCCTACAGAGTTTCCAGAGTCATCATAAAGTAGAGAGGACCTTTGGCTTATGAACTCAATTCATTCACGAGGGCTGGTTGTAACTCAGGTTGGTCAGTGAAGGCTCAGACTCCTCCACACAGCCTTCAAAGTCTCTCTCCTGTGTATAGGCTGATCTCAGTGTCCTTAAAGAGATGCTGGCCCAGGATTTCTCAGTGAACCCCACAAAGGACAGGATGCTGTCATGTTCCTCCCAGAACTCTTTAAGGGTTAAATCTGTATCTGAGACCATCTGGAAGCACAAGCAGCCAGCATTTGGGTCGTAACTCAAGACTTTGGTCGTTTAAGTTAAAACTAAAATTCCAGTCATAACCCAAGTTATTGGTGCATCAGGCTGGTTGTAACTCAAGGGGCCATTATAATTAATAATGAATAGTAATTAATGTCATACTATTGCACAATAGACAAAAATGGAACAAAATAGAGACCCACATATATTCAGAAAAGTGATTTTCAGTAGTATCAATGCACTTTAATGGGGAAAGAAAAATTGTTCAACGAATGGAAACAGAAAAGTTCATATCATGTAAGACAAAAATTACCCATGATCCCTTCCTCACGCCATTCCTGAAATGCAGTTTTAATTGGATGACGGACCTTGTACCTTGGATCTGTACCTCTCATGACCCTTTCAAAGAGTCTGCTTCCAGGCAAGATGGAGTGACAGGGATTACATTTGTCCTCCTTTCAGGAACCAGCTTTTAAAAGTCAGACAAAATACACAGAACAGTGAGGCCACAGACGTTGCCACCCATAACCAGAAAGTGAGACCTCACCAGACAGTGACGCCCCTTGGTCTTGGGCTTCTCAGTCCCAGAGCTGGCAGAAAGAAATGTCTGTCCTTATAAGCCACCCAGCTCGTTATATTTTGTTAAAGTGCCCACAGGGACCAAGCCAGATGAGGACACAGTTGTGTGCAACAGTGAATTCAGAGGAACAAATAGAGTAAAAGCAAAAGCCAGGTCATATTAATGTTACAGCGAAAGAGAGGTGCAGTGGGTATATTACTATTACATGGACTTTAAACCAAAGAATACAGCCAGAGATACAGGTTACTTTTTTTTCATAATGATAAAGATATCCATTCATCAAGAAAACAAAATAACCCTAAATGTTCATTCACCTCACAACAGTTTCAAACTTCATGAAGCAGAAACTGGTAGAAGCCTGGCATGGTGGTGCACATCACTCAAGAGGCTGAGGCAGGAGGATCACCACGAGTTCAAGTCCAGCCTGAGCTTCAGAGTGAGTTCAAGGTCAGTCCAAACTGCATAGCAAGTCCTTGTCTCAAAAACAAAAACAAAACATAACAGGAAAAGGAAACGGATAGAATCGTGTGTTAAAGTCAGAGATGCCAATTTCTCTTTCGGTGATTGATGCAGGAATACACAGAGTATCAAAGGTTAGAGAAGACTTGAACAACGCCGTGGACCCAGTGGACACTTGTAAGACACTGTGTGCAACAGCACAAGAATCTTTTTCAGTGCACGCGGACCCCTTACCAAGAAGGAATGTGTTCTGTGCCGCAGAGTAAGTCTCAATAAATGAGTAAGGGTCCAAGCCAGACAAGTTGTTCTCACATCTTAAATTGTATTAGAAATCAGTAATACGAAGATATCTGGAAACCCCACAAATATCTGGAAAAAGACTAAAGTAGGTCTAGGAAAAAAAAAAAGCAAACAGAGCCTTGTGTGGTGGTGCACGCCTGTAATCTCAGCACTCAAGAGGCAGAGCAGGAGTACCGCCACGAGTTCAAGGCCAGCCTGGGCTACATAGTGAGTTTAGGGCCAGCCTGAACTACATAGTGAGACCCTGTCTCAAAAACAAACAAACAAAGAACAAAAGAAAAATGTATTGTGAGTGGAATGAAATATATTCCATATATGAAATGAACCACAAAAAGTTATTGCGCAGGAAGCAAGGAAAAGCAGCCCTAAATGCCTACATTAGAAAAGGAGGTCTTGAGTTAATGTTCTCAATTTCCACCTTAAAAACAATAAATGAAAGCCTGAATTAAAAATTAATAGGAAGAAGAAGCGATGGAATGAGAGGTGGGTGGAAGGGAATCTGGAGGAGGGTCCCTCGCGGCAGCTGGGCGGCAGCAGCGAGAGAACGAGACTTCCAGCCAGGCGCGGAACCGGCGCCTGGGGCTGGGAAGAAAGCGGGAGGAAGGCCACGGGGTCCCCCTCTGTCTCCCGGGCGGCGCGGCGCGTCTCTGCAGCGGCGTCTCCGATCGTGGGAGGAGCTCGCGGTGGTGGCCCTCGGCTCCCAGTCGTGAATTAGTAGGGCAAACTGCCGCCCGGGTGATCCTGGTCATTGCGTTTTCAGTTTCCTCTGAGGAGCGTCAGTAGGGGGTTTCCTGAGATACACGACGACCTCTGGGGTCCCCCATAGGGTGGTAGCATCATCTGCTGAAGAAACAGCGCGGTGCTTTCCGTTTCCTGAAGAGTGTATGCATTTTTGGCATCGTGTGTGTGAGTGTGTGTGGGGAGTAGGAGGGAGGTGTCAACATATGTATTGCAAAGGAGAATAAGTACTAAGCAGTGCTTTAATCTGAACAGTGCCTTTGCATAAGGGTAACCCTCACCAGCGCAGTGTAGAGGATCCACACGTAGGCTACAGCATACTGACGGCTCCCTCCAACCCCCTCACCAGCGAGCCCCTTGCTCCAGCTCTAAAATTGTTTCAGCCACATCCAGCCTCCTGCTTCTTTCTCACCTATAGCATCCTCTTCTCTCTCCCTCTTGTTACCAATCTACCCTCTCCCTTCTCTCTTCCTTTCACCACGCCCCCGCCTCTCAGTCATACGAAAGGGGGCATCCTCGCGGCAAATTTCAGTGTATGTGAGCTATGTAGGATTTGATCCTTGGACCTTGAAAATGTGTGCAAATCACACACCTCATACAGGAAATGTATCTGGAATATGTAGATCTCTCGAAACTGAACGAGAAAAAATAAGGCCCGGGGGAATTGGCGCACACCGGTGTACATAATGAGTTCAGGGCCAGCCTGAACTGCAAAGCAAGATCCCATCTTGGGGAAAAAAAAGTAATTACCAAAGAGTGAGCAAGAGATGTGAACAGACACCTCCCCAAAGGTGATACACGACAGCCGAGCACGGGTTCAGCATCACAGGCCACTTGGGAAATGCACGTTAACACTAAACCTTTACATTTAGAATGTCTCAAACTAAAAAGATTATACCAAACGTGGTTGTAGATGCGGAATAACTGAAGCATTCATAAGTTTCCAGTGGAGAAATAAAATTGTTGAACCAATTCTTGGCGGTTTCTTAAAAAGTTGAACATGCTTTATCATATGATCCAAGCATTCCACTCCATATGTCCATTCAAAGACACATGCATGAATATTCGTAGTAACTTTATGTCCAAATGCTGTGGGAAATAAGCCAGACCAAAGTTAGCGCATACTGTATGATCCCATTTATATAAAATCCCACAAAATGCCAGTGAATCTGTAGTTACAAAAAGCAGACAAAGAGCTGGGTGTGGAGACACACACCTGTGGTTCTAGCACTCTGGGAGGCTGAGGCAGGAGGGTGGCAAGTTTAAGCCCAGCCTGAGTAACTCAGCATCTCTGAGACCTCATCTAGAATAAAAAAGGAGCAGGGGATGTAGCTCAGTGTGAAAGCCCTGAGCTCAATCTGCGGTACTCACCTGGAGGAGGGCAGGTAAGTGGGGAGGGGAAGGGAAGGGAAAGAACTCTAAAGGTGTGCAGAAAAGTTTGGGGGGTGATTGATATGTACAAGTATATACATATCTGTGTGTGTGCATGTGACTGTGTGTCTGTGTACCCAAATGTACAGATGTTGGGGCCGTCTGGGTTGGAGCTGAGTGGTAGAGGACTTGTCTCCAAAGGCAGGGCCCTGCGTTTGTTTCCACCACACACACACACTGTACACATGTGTCCTTCATCAGTGATTTACTCTTTTTCTATTATACTTTGGCAAAGGTTTTTTTAAATCTCTATTCCCCGATCATTATTAGAAGTCTAAGTACAGCTATTAACAAATGTTTGTGGCAGTATTTCCTAACTACACTGTAGGCGGAGAACTCTGCTAGTTACTGCTGAAGAACATAAAAAAGTGGTAAAGTCCTGGTCCTTCAACATCTATCACAACCAAGAGATTTACAAGGCAGCATACTGAATATCCAACACAAGTCCTGCTAATAAATTTCTCATTAAAATTAACTGTGCTCCATGCACGCATACACACTTCATTAAGATATGCATGTATGCATGCAGTCCTACATATTAAAGACAATTATCCCCATTAGAGAGTAATTCGCTAGAGTTGAGTCATTTGCAAATGTTTCAGGAATTTCTCTCTCGGATCAATTAAGAGACCAATGCTTTATGAATAAAATATTATATAGAGCCAGGCCTTTTCTTCAGGACCAAGTCCTGGAGGTAGGTGAGTTTTGGCTGAATTTTAAAGGATTGAAGGCTGTGGAGAGGCAGAGGAAGACTTGGGTAAGTTATTTTGGAGGAAGAAAATGGAAAGTGGAGTTAGAGTCTGGTTTGCCGATCATCCATAAAAATTGTTTTAATAAGTTTTTACGATTTGTAAACGTTTCGCGAGGAAGCTGTGGTTAGGAATCACCGGAACCTCTTCACAGGAAATGTGGACCCCATGGAGGAACCCTCCAGATCTGGATTGGCCCCCAGGCCTGCAGCTTCCCTCCGTCCAACTTTCTCCTTCCCCCTGCCTCGCCGGACCGTCCCTGGGAGTCTCCTGTGTGTCCTCCTCAGATGGAGGAAACAGCAAGGTCCAGGGCCGCTGAGGAGCGGGGTCACCGCACCTGGGGAAGGAAGGTCCTGGGAAACCCAGTCACCACAGTGGGGGAGAGCTGCAGGGACCCTGGGAGGCTGCATGTCCCGGCCCAGCCTGAAGTGAGCCGGGAAAGCAACCGTGGCAGGAGGCAGGAGTGAGGCAAAGGAGCGTTTTAAGTCAGAGTTGCTCAGGAAGTCTCTGAACTCATAGATCCTGGACATCTTAAATCGTACATCATCCATAGACCTAAAGGCTGACTGGCTTTTTGCAGAATTCCTTTCTGCTCATTAACTGTGAACCAGAGTGTTTTAGAGAACCAGAGGCCGCTTTCGGAGCCCATAGTTCACTGTAGTCTCACAATACTAAATACTAAATACTAAATGGGGCATTGTTATCTTCCAGCACAGAGAAAAATGTAACGTGAAAAGCAATCTAGCACTTAGGGCAGGCACGTCTCAGTCTGTTTTAAAAAGTCCACAAGAAGGCTCCAACACAGACTGCAATACGGATGAACGGCATGCTAAGGGAAATAAGGCAGACACAAAAAAGTCAAAGGTGGCATGATTCCATTTATATCACGTATCTGGAGCAGTCAAACTTGCAGGGACAGAAAGTAGAATGTGATACTAGGGACGGGAGAAGGGCACATGTGGAGTTGTTTCTTGGGTATAGAGAGCTTCCGTCTTCTAAGAGGAGAAACATTCTAGAGATTGACAATATGAGACCAGCGTACTTAACACTGACAGTAGTTCATATGAATATATTTAATACTAAGCTATGTACTTAAAAGCGGCTAACACAATAAACTTCATGCTACCTGTATCTTACCACAATTAAAACTTCCTCTATGGAGGGGAAAAGTAAATTCATTAAATAACCAGATTACTGAGAAGGAGTTGCAGAAAGATTAAATCAAAGTTAAAAATAAGGTCCGGGGATTTAGCTCAGCGGTTCTGCTGCATGCCTTGCAAGCGCAAGGACCTAAATTCGATCCCCGGTACCAAAAAAATAAAAACTTAAAAATAAAAATCTGAGGGCCAGGGATTTAGCTCAGTGGTTCTGCTGCCTGCCTCGCAAGTGCAAGGTCTTGGGTTTGATCCCCAGTACCAAAAAAATACAAATATATATAATTCTGTGAACCGGGTGAATGGCTCAGCGGAAGAGGACATGCTTAACCAGCACGCGGCCTTGCTTTAATTCCCAGCACCAAACACGAAAACAAAAGCAAAAAACCGCAGACAAAGCCAAACAAAAGTGAAATGAAATGCAGTTAGATATGTAGGGGGAAGACAAAGCAATGTAAAGGGGCATTTATTGGGACAGTAGGACTTATCGCTATGTTAATCCCTTTTTCACGTGCTATTGCACTATGTTCCCAAAGTAACCTTTAGAGTAGACCTATTACTGGAAGAGTATGGTTCCTACACTGAAGCA